GTATTATAACTGCAGCTATAAGGTTATGGTGTAAGGAGGTCCCCTGTCTCCCCGCACACAGTGTATTATAATTGCGGCTATAAGGTTATGGTGTAATGAGGTCCCCTGTCTCCCTGCACACAGTGTGTTATAACTGCAGCTATAAGGTTATGGTGTAAGGAGGTCCCCTGTCTCCCCGCACACAGTGTATTATAACTGCAGCCATAAGGTTATGGTGTAAGGAGGTCCTCTGTCTCCCTGCACACAGTGTATTATAATTGCGGCTATAAGGTTATGGTGTAAGGAGGTCCCCTGTCTCCCCGCACACAGTGTATTATAACTGCAGCTATAAGGTTATGGTGTAAGGAGATCCCCTGTCTCCCCGCACACAGTGTATTATAACTGCAGCTATAAGGTTATGGTGTAAGGAGGTCCCCTGTATCCCTGTACATGATGTATTATAACTGCAGCTATAAGGTTATGGTGTAAGGAGGTCCCCTGTCTCCCCGCACACAGTGTATTATAACTGCAGCTATAAGGTTATGGTGTAAGGAGGTCCCCTGTCTCCTCGCACACAGTATATTATAACTACAGCTATAAGGTTATGGTGTAATGAGGTTCCCTGTCTCCCCACACACAGTGTATTATAACTGCAGCTATAAGGTTATGGTGTAAGGAGGTCCCCTGTCTCCCAGCACACAGTGCATTATAACTGCAGCTATAAGGTTATGGTGTAAGGAGGTCCCCTGTCTCCCCGCACACAGTGTATTATAACTGCAGCTATAAGGTTATGGTGTAAGGAGGTCCCCTGTCTCCCCACACAGTGTATTATAAGTGCAGCTATAAGGTGCCAGTGGAATTGTAAAATTATAATGTAAAACTCACACAGTATCATGTGATTTAATGCACAAGCTGGGCAGCGAAATAAGAAGTAAAATTCCGTGCAGCTGTTTGAAGCCACACGGTGCACAAAGCCTGGTACCCGGGGCCTTTATTTGCCTTAAAACACGGTGCTAGTAAACACGTGTCATGATTGGTTGAGCCAGTTCTTAGTTTTTGTGGGACCATGTTTTGGTTTTATTATTTATACAAAGTATTGTGATAGAATAAGATCGACGCTAGTCTGGCTGATCTTTACTACAACTCCCATGAAGCTTGGTCAACCTTGCAAAAGATCAGATGGAAACTGAAGATCAATTGGGGCCCAGGGTTTATCCAGCCAGTCTTTGTGTTTTCTACCCATCGATATTTACCAATTAAAACTAATTCAGACTATTTAACTTGGCTGCAAAAATTACTTTCATCTTTATTTTTAGACCTTTAAAGATAGCCATATGTACTAATTAGTTACAAATAACAAATTGTACTTACAGAACATTTCAAAGAACTCAAAGTTGTTGTTTTCCTGTAATTCTCTTAAATCTCACCTAAAAACAGAGGAAAAGGAACAGAATGTTTTAACAAACAGCCGTCAGTGAACTCAGGAACTCAAACAATGAGAGAGAATTCCTCGGCCATGAAACGGATCTGCCATGTTTGCTCCAAAAAAGATTAAAACTCTACAGGTAGTTTAAATAACAGCAAAACAAACTCACAGTAGGTATACAGTGTATGTATATTATCTTTATATAGCGCTAACAGGTGTACTCAGCACTTTACAGGTTACATTACAGTAGAGGGAGGTACAGTAAGTGCTGTAGGTATACAGTGTATGTATATTATCTTTATATAGCGCTAACAGGTGTACTCAGCACTTTACAGGTTACATTACAGTAGAGGGAGGTACAGTAAATGCAGTAGGTATACAGTGTATGTATATTTTATTTAGCACTAAAAGGTGTACTCAGCACTTTACAGGTTACATTACAGTAGAGGGAGGTACAGTAAGTGCAGTAGGTATACAGTGTATGTATATTTTATTTAGCACTAAAAGGTGTACTCAGCACTTTACAGGTTATATTACAATAGAGGGAGGTACAGTAAGTGCAGTAGGTATACAGTGTATGTATATTTTATTTATATAGCACTAACAGGTGTACTCAGCACTTTACAGGTTACATTACAGTAGAGGGAGGTACAGTAAGTGCATTAGGTATACAGTGTATGTATATTTTATTTATATAGCGCTAACAGGTGTACTCAGCACTTTACAGGTTACGTTACAGTAGAGGGAGGTACAGTAAGTGCAGTAGGTATACAGTGTATGTATATTTTATTTATATAGAGCCAATAGGTGTACTCAGGACTTTATAGGTTACAGTATAGTAGAGGGAGGTACAGTAAGTGCAGTAGGTATACAGTGTATGTATATTTTATTTCTATAGCACTAACAGGTGTACTCAGCACTTTACAGGTTACATTACAGTAGAGGGAGGTACAGTAAGTGTAGTAGGTATACAGTGTATGTATATTATATTTATATAGCGCTAACAGGTGTACTCAGCACTTTACAGGTTACATTACAGTAGAGGGAGGTACAGTAAGTGCAGTAGGTATACAGTGTATGTATATTTTATTTATATAGCGCTAACAGGTGTACTCAGCACTTTACAGGTTACATTACAGTAGAGGGAGGTACAGTAAGTGCAGTAGGTATACACAGTGGTGTATCCTGGTTTTGTGCCGCCCTAGGCAGTACAAAACTCAGGCACCCCCCCGCGCCACCCCCACCCGCGCAACCGCCACCCAACCTTCCCCCCGCTCCGCCTTCTAAATACACACACACACATTCACTGACAGATACGCATTCACTAGCTAACAGAAACACAGTCACTAACAGACACACACTCACACACTCACTAACAGACACACACACACACTAACAGGCAAACACACACACTAACAGACATCCACACACTAACACTAACATACATACACTAACATTAACATACACACTAACACTAACAGACACACTGACACACACACACCAACATACACACACTAACATACACACACTAACACTAACATACATACACACTAACATACACACTAACAGACATCCACACACACACTAGCAGACATACACACACTCACTAGTTTTTTTTTTGTTTTTGTTTTTAACCCCCCCCCAGCCTCCTTACCTTTGGTAATGCTGGGGGGGGTTCTTCTTCTCCTGTCCAGTGTAGTGCTAGGAGCGGCGAGCTGAGCGCTTCAGCTCTGCCGACAGCAGAGTGATGCCGGGAGCCGGAATATGACGTCATCAACCCGGCTCCCAGCCTCACTCTGCTGGCGGCGCGCGAGGGAGCTGAGCAGAGCGCTCAGGGGAAGAGCTCCCTCGCCGGCCGCCCGCCCGCCCAACGCTGCAGCCACTGCCGCCCAGCGCCCATAATGTCTGTTAGCCGCGAGGCTAACAAGACATTTGCCTTGGGCATTTGGGGGGCGGCGTTTTTTGCCGCCCCCTGAAAAATGCCGCCCAAGGCAAATGCCTTGTTTGCCTCGCGGCTAATACGCCCCTGGGTATACAGTGTATGTATATTATATTTATATAGCGCTAACAGGTGTACTCAGCACTTTACAGGTTACATTACAGTAGAGGGAGGTATAGTAAGTGCAGTAGGTATACAGTGTATGTATATTTTATTTATATAGCGCTAACAGGTGTACTCAGCACTTTACAGGTTACATTACAGTAGAGGGAGGTACAAATAATATGCCTTTTCTTAAAAAAAAAAATCACAAAGTATCAAATACCAGCTGAATATTGATCCGTTTTAAACAACAATTTATCGTATCTTGCCCTAACTTTCTGTTGCTAGAATACAAACGAACATGGGGGCGTTCTTATCATCCTGTCATGTTTCATGAAAACAAACAGCTCCAGAAATGGTTGCTTTAATTTTGTAATTGTATTTCTTTAAGGTTTCTGACTCACCGAAGCTTCATTTTACTCTCTTCATTTTAATATTTTTTTTCCTTTAATGAATCTACTAAAAGATTATGCCCTCCAATAAATATGCATATCATTTATTTTGCATGTTTTTTTTTTTTAACAAACATGAAACATTAGCTTATAAAAGCTGTAGATCTCTTGTCTGCTGCCTTTGCAAGCCCTCCCCTTCTAACCACGCCCAGACTTTCTGTAGCGGTCCAATCACAGACTTCTCAGTAGAGCTCTATCATAAGTCTTTGTGCAATTGCTGTGTGGCAAAACTAGCCACTTAAGACTGTATTTCTATTCCTGTAATATTGCATCTTTAAGGCTATCTAAACTGTGCATGTTCCCTTTTCTGTATTTGATGCGAAGGAGAGCATTCGCATGTTAGCGGCACGGAAGCTACCAGCATTCCTACAGTAGTTTCACGAACAGTGAATTTCAACACTGTTCGTGAAACTAACAAACTACCGAATGGGAGACCACACACAGGAGGTCGCGTGGCTCCCATTACGGATCGCAACATTGTATCTATCGGCATTTAATAGATGTTCAGGGTGGCCGCCGTTCGGATACCGACCACACGGCGGTTGGCCATCTTGGATCCTTTGTTAGCCCAGCAGTATTTTGTCGTCGAGTGCCTGGAACTGAAATCGGCTACTCGGCGGCACGAATACCGCTGGACTTCCAGGCCGTTCGGGAGCACCAGTCTTTCAGTATTTTATCGCTGCATGTGTATTCGTGACTTTGGTGAAAAATGTGTGTTCAAGTGTACTTAGTGCTGCGTTCGGGTAATTGTGCTGGGATCTGAGCGGTACTTTCACAAAGTATGCGCTCAGACCCCAGATATCTGCCGAACGGTATAATAGCACGAATAATGTTAAAGTTATATATTTTTATGTAAAAAGCCAGTTCTGCTGCACAGAGGGATAATCCACTTAACTGGATATTCTAGTGGGAGTATTCCGCTCATACAGCAGTGCATGATGGGAGGAAGGTCCAGGTTGTCAAGTTCCCCATGTAGTCCCCTACTGTACAACCCCTGTAATGTCAGTAGGGAAACCCCTTGCATGGGGAATCCCATAAATACGGTGACCTGTGATTAAAAGCTCAGTTGACTCCCAGCCTATGTGTCGTCTAGTTCTTGGGAAGGAAGGATTTATACAATGCTACCGGGATTATTGTATGCTGTACTTGTTATACCTGGATTATTATATGCTGTTCCTGTCTACCAGTGGAGATACTGTGGATTATACCACCTCTCCACTACACGCTGTATCTTGAGTTTAGCTCCACGGAGCAAACCAAACCAGGAAGTAACAGGACCAGGTGTCTGATTGACAGCCAAGGTTCATTTATAAATGTGTACATTTCTATTGAAATCTACACTTTTAGTAAAATATATTTTTATAAAGTACTTTAGTGGTCTGGAGTGTTAGTTTAACATTAACATATAAGATAGCGAATACAGAGATTTTTTCTCTGTAAAGTAGGGGCGTGAGAAAACCTGGGATATTTTGAAAGTGCCGCACATTACAATATGATCGTGTCCAAACACAGGATATATGCAATGCCCTGATTGTCAACTCTGTATGCTGTGACACCCGGATTGCGGAAGAGTTGTAACATTCCATTGAATTTCTCACGAGATCTCTGTGGTTGGTTGGGCTTGCACACAGAAACACGATAACCTGGGCAGGCCGCACAGAAACATTCAAGCACAGTACACACTGCAGGTTCATTTCTCCAGCACAGTTACAACATCCATCGGAGTGTTGCCGAAAGAGAGCAGCATCGTTACACTGCCCTAGGAGGAAGCTAGGATTATGGGCTACTAAACGATACTGTGAGCTGTAACTCCCATCAATCTAAGCCAGGCTTCAGTGACAATAATTACCGTCCATAGCATCCCGTGTCTTCACTAAATTTCGGCAAAAACAGCTGATCTGAACAATATCTCCAACTCCGCTATAGTCACAGCTCTGCTGTTTTGTGTAATGTGTTCCGATTCTGTGTTTGGTGAATACAGTGTGTCCGGGATAACACACATATCTCAAAGAAAAAAAATATAAGTAAGTCAATAAAAGTGACACTTAGCGCCGTAACATGAATTCTTGTTTAATGGACGTGAGTTCTATAATCTGTACCCTCAGCCCTGGTTCCCAAGAACACGGCTGGAGAGAACAAGGAGTTTGATTTTACGGCAGCGAGCATTCCTCACTTTCAAAAATAAAAAGATTCACTTGGAAGAGAGTGATTTAAGTTTCTTTTTGACTGTAAAAATGAGAGTTCCTGCCACGGAACCTGGAGGAAGCAGGATCCGTGGAGAACTTAAAGAGATACTCGAACACGTTTCTGGGATAAGATGGCAATAATAGCGAGATCTCGAACCATCTGACATAACTGTGGGTAGGAAAACAAGCAGGATGGATCTAAGGCGGTATATTAGACAGACACGTTGCTCCCATTTTCTGTTTGTTGAAATTTGCCACTCAATGAGGGACCTCAGTGACAGGTCCAGTCCAGCAAGGCGCTAACATGTTAAAGGAGTATCGCGATCACCAGCCTGAGGCATAATAATGCCTATGAATCTGCTTCCTCGCTTCTTTAAATTAGACATCAAGAGGTATTTTTATTAATCCCGACAAACGTATCAGCCCTATCAGAAACACAGATGTAAATGAACTGCTAGTATGCTCGCTTGGCACAGTCACCAGACTGTGCTACAAGTTGTATATGCCAACATTTTCTTTTTTCTATTTAATGGTGAAATTAGTAATTTTGAAGCATTATATTTAGTTTGTGTGTAATAACGAACACAATTTAAAACCCAGGACGTTCTATGAAAAACATAGTAGGAGTGATTTTGGAAAATGTGAAGTGGTTCTTACACAAAGGGTGTAACTCGCAGAATTGCTGTGCAGAAAAGATCATATGGTTCCTGGTATAACAATGACAGCTGAGCAATAGTCACGTGGGGCTTATTCACTAAATGGTGATCAGCTGACAGTGTGCACTGCTTAACACAAACCAGTCAAGCTGCAAACTAATTCTCCACGTTGGCCGGGTTAAAAGAGTTTATTCCCCCAAATTGACTATTTTGTCTGGTGAATTACAACCAATTGTTAACATATTAAATCTCACAGCAAATAAACTCCGGAAATGTTATTAGTGAGAGACAGAAAGCCGCTGTCTGAACCAGTCCAGGCGCTTTCATCCGCTGAAATCTCCGTAGACGGTAAGTGGACCTGTCATGACGCAAGACACTTTATTGCAAATGGGAAATAATATATTTCTACATCGTATTGGAAATGTTTCGAAATAATGATTTAAAACAAATATGGTCTCTATCACTGTGTGTGACTGACAGGGACAGCAGGAGAACCCTTCTAAACACACCGCAGCTAGTGTACTTACTCTTTAGCACTGCCAGCGGTGTGATGTCACTCTGTTCATACGATGTGATGATGTCATTAGAGAGGTGCAGCCTACTTATGGCAGGGTTTGCAAGCATTGGCAAACTGAGAAAGAGACTGCAATCCCTGTGTCATGGCAGCAGAGAAGGTATTAATATCCAGCTCCTGAACTTCAGCGGGCTGTAAGTGACCTGCAAACAAAACAGCGCAGACACGAACTCCGCCTCGCGGAATACGAGGACGCTAGGCGGAGAACCAACCTGAAGGTACGTGGGGTCTCGGAAGCAACACCCGATGCAGAGCTCCCGCAGCTAGTCAAGCAATTGCTCGCCGACATACTGGCGCCCTCACACGTCCATAGCATTAGCCCTGAACGCATCTTCAGGATCCCCAAGCCACCTAGAGCGCCGACCACGGCCACCAGGGACTTAATTATTACCTTTCGCAACACCCAGGACAAAACGACAATCCTTAAAGCCATTAGGGGGAAGACACCCCTCCAATTCAACAACATGACACTAAACTTCTTCACTGACCTCTCGAATGAGACCCTAGCATGGCGACGCTCCTTCCAGCCACTCACCGCACTACTCCGAAGTCATGACCTTCAATACAACTGGCGGCCTTCCCATACGCTCGTTGTACAGCAGGGAACGGAATCCCACAAGCTACAGGACCCAGCCGACGCAGCGCAGCTACTGCAGGCCTTGGGCCTACCTCCGGACTCACTCAACCAGGTAGCCCAACAAGGCATCAACTCACCACAGCACACCTGGGACCCGACGAGAACAGTCCCATTCATACCCCAGGGACTAACACCCGACCCATACGTAGCGGTAACTACATAAACGGAGAACGGCGATTTTAAAACCAGCCGCACATGGACGATGGGAGACCTCAAATTTTTTTTTTATTTTTTTTTACCACAGATAATGGCCTCACAGGGACATTTGCAACTTGTATTTAATGCTGATCCTCTAATGTTATATCATAATTTGTTTTCTGTACCTAGATTGAACCTGTCTTTAAAACCTAGCTAGACATGACTCGTTGCATATGCCTTCACCCACAAAAACTGCCTACATGCGGATGTAGCTAAGTTCCATTGTATTGCTTGGTGACATGGGCAGGAATGGTTCGCCTCACGTTACCTGGGTTCATAATTTTTTCTGTTTTTTTGATGCTGACTCGTTTTAAATGTTTAACACAACTGCATAGGCACCCACACTTACAACACGTACCTAAGCAACAAGATCAAGCAGAGGCCGATTAACAAAACCACTTAAATACCTTAAGCGAGGTACAACCTCTCAGACAACATTACATAAAGTTTCTTAGCCTATACATACACAAACAGTGCCCTTTTGATATGGATGGCAAGCACTTACTCTTACTCATTTAGAAATGTTAATTTCCAACTAGTCTAACATAAGCATAAACCTTTTTACATCGACCATACGCTCACAACCTGAAATGTTGCAATAGGAAAATGTGTTGTACCTTCCACATGCTGACCAATTGTTAATATCTGTTTGGTATCACGCCTGTCAAAGCTGTTGGGACATGACGAGCCCACTTGATATATTTACATGCACACCATGACATGATATAGCACATAGTTATTACATGCTCCGGCTTATTCAGCACTGCCTGTCTTGGCATCACTTTGATATGCCTGTTTTTTCTTTTGTTAAATCTTTTTGGTTAAATCGTGAATCTCTCACTCAAACAAAAAACAAAGTGCAACGCATAACGAACATGTCACCAGAATTGTCTTCATTTGCCTACTACTGTAATATTATGTGACAACCTTGACAAATGTACCTACCAATGCACTTTCAAAAATAAAGAATTGAAAAAAAAAAAAAAAA